TTCTAAGCGAACTGTCTTTTTAATAAGGATTTAGTATCTAAATTTGTATTATTTGAGATAGATCAAATGTTTTTAAACCTTTAAAAGGAAAATAAATACAGACATTAAATTGGCACAATTCTCGATTTTGCAGCTTATTTTGCTGCCAGATATACATATCTACTTCCTGTTCCCATTAGCATACTAAATAGAAAGAGAAACCATTCTAATATTTCTTTATATCTATATCCACACTCTGATTATTTATAAATGTATTATTTATGGTAGAAGCTATCCTACCAAACAAAACAATTTCCCTAATAATATACAAAATAAAATATTTAAAAAATAAAAATATTTATAAATATTATTAAATAAAGCACTTAAAGCTAATCATACAAATACGCAGAGGCGGAGTTCTGTCTGCAACAGACTTTTGGCAACATTGCGGCGCATATAGTACGACAAAAGGGGCGTCAGGTGCTGCAAGCATTCGCAGAGCCCATTATGCCACATGGTTACGCCAGCAGCGATGAGGCAATTGTGCGGAAAACCCCTAAACATGTTTTGGGTTAATTTAAAATGTGGCCATGCCCGATTCGCACAAATAAAAGACAAAATTAATGTTGACATTTTCCACTCGTTGGATAAAATTGCAAAAGCCAAAAGCTCCGACAAACAGACAAAAGCCAATGCAAAAGCGTAGCTTTTAGCTACGCGCTTATATGTGGGGTTGATCCGGGGCATGGTCAGTGCATATAGTAATGCATATGCACATGCATGCATACATACATGCAGTTGCACACACATATGCAGTTGCATACACAGACTGCGTGCACTCGGCAAAAGTGTGCAATTGAATGCAGATGCTACCATAATTCAGACAGCTAATTTGAAAATTTCGAAATTTATCTAACGATTCTCGCACGCACCATGGCACAGCTGAACTCCAAATGGCTCTGCTTTACAGCACATGAGTCACCAATAAATTTCATTAATTAAATATAATATAAATTTATTTTATTAACTATAGTTAAAGCTGCTAGCATGTTGTGCACCAAGCTGGCTTAAGCCTGGCACTTCAATTTATATTTGTACACTGATCCGATTCTTAAAGCATATAAATATTTATATATATCTCTATTACTTGTATATTTATTTTTTTTGTATGTAAATAAGAAAGCACCAAAGCATACTATAACTTTGCCCCCAAAGATTGCATCTATCTTAGTTATCAAAATTAGAGATCAATTTTAGCCCGCATTTTGTATATGAAAACAAGTACGACTTGCCATATTTTCAATACAACGGCCAATTACAAACTTTAAATTAAATTGTTTTACTAAAAGCTTAATACAAGTTTAATATATATGTTTAAAATATGACAAACTAAGGCTTGAACCAAATCCTAAGTTCAAAGATGCGGCTAACATGTTTTACGTATCGAACTTAATTTTGGTTAATTTGCAATTCTGACTTTCTCTATATATATATATATACAAAACTGTTTCTCCTGACTTACGGTCTGACTGACTGACTGCCTGACTGACTGACTGACTGGTGATCAACGCACAGCCCAAGTAAGAGCTAAGAAGCTGCAACTTTTACTATAGTTACCCAATGTATTGAAGGAGCAGGCTAAGACGGGGTTCTGGGAAATACGAAACGTAAATGTGAAAAAATCGAGTAAAACGTTTGAATGAAGCCTTTGGGTTACCATCGAATCGGTCTTAAACGTATGTGCAAAGATCTTTGTTCAAATTCATTTGAGAGTTGGCTCGCATTCTCCATTTCCCTTCGTTCCTCCTTGGTGGAAAAGGGGCTTAAATTCATTCGCAAGTATCTTTATGAAAGTTAATGTTTGACGTGTTTCGCTGAAACCAAGACTATGTAAGAAATGCCATTTAATGATGTTTGTAATTAAGGTACTTCATTTATCAATATATTGACCTAACTGTGGCACACATAAATCTAATCTGATGCCTTTACAGTCTTGGAGATCGCCGCGGCTGGCAACATAGTTCAAACATATTTCAAACATTTCAAACATTGCGACAGAAAACCCTTCCTTTTTAGATTTGTTTCTACTTTTCTGTGAGTGCTTCAAATGAATTAAATTTGTTTATGCTTCTTAAGATGGGATCACAATTTCTATCATTGTCGATTCTGGGTTATAGTGTTCAAATTGATTGCTGTACATTTGGGAGTGGCCACATTAAACTCATATCGCATTCCTATTTAGGTACCAAAGTAAATAAAAATAAAACAACACTCTGTCATGAGCATGTGTGACGCGTGTCAAAAAAATTGAGAGAGCCCATAAATCGTTGACGACAAAATGGAATTATCAGCGTTCCACCAAAATTCGTAGTTAGATACCAATCATAACAATACGTATATGTATATAATCCGCTTTGACAGTTTAGCCCCTCGAAAGTATTATAAAGAGTTTCGAAAGAGTAGCCAAACTTTTTATTGCAGGTTAAACAATGTCGATTGTGATCTATAACAGTCATTGATTACTTTTAAATGCTCCAATTGCCCATTGATACTTCGTATGTAGCAGATATTTATATGTTACCGTGTCCCAGTTTGAAAGGGCTTAAATATATATTCTTATTTATATAACTTAACGAACTTACCCAAAAATTCTCTTAGGAAAACAGGATTATTTTACATACCTGTTATTTGCATTAGCGAGTTCGACTTTTATATGCACACATCACTAAAAAAAAACAAAGAAACACACTTTGTTAATAAAATACTTATAATCAAAACTGTAGCCTGTAAAGGCTTATTTGAATTCATAAAAATCTCTCGTATGTAATAACATTTTATTCTATTTTTTTAATTTGCAGTGCAACGAGAAATAAATTTAGCTTACGTTACCTTATACGACATACATTCATACATTCAAGCATACATGCATTCATACATACATGCAAGCATACATACATGTACACCTACACACGTACCTTTATACTTGCACACCTATATTTCTACGCACATATGCACATACATATATACACAAATGCATACTTAAACACATACTGATATATATACAGTCATACATGAATACATACCTTACATACATACTTATTCACACTACTTTTAAGCAACACTTAGGACCACAACAGAAAATGAAATTTGCACAGCCTACTTAAATTCATGAGAATCGCGTAGTAAGGCATTGCATTAATATATATTTTTTTAATTCGCGGCCTAGCTGAGTTCAATATGGGGAGAGTCAAGCAAGCTTGATGTGCATATGGTAATCTGACTACCATTAAAATTCAGTCAGCTTTATAACTCTTTTTGGTTAGCATGTGCTTTGATAAGCCAGTCATATCAGTCAGAGCAAATAGTTGAATATTTCAGACGACTATATCAGACGAGTTTTAATAACATTACTTTAAATATATTTCCGTACCAAATAAATACTACAAGAGAAGGACTATGATTTGCCGGACTTAGTGAGGGGGCCCACATGTATAGTTTTTTCTTCTATGAAAAATCTTTTTTTAGTTCGAATTCTCGAGCAGTGATAAGTCCCGAAAAATCTCTTTAATACGTTACACATTGAGCGACAAAATCCTTACACGCCATTCTCAAGCATGTCTTACCAAATTTGTGCTCCACCCAATAAAACCTAGAAATCAATTAAGAATTTTTTCAAAGGAATGATCTTAATATGATATCTCTTTATTTTATTTTTATTTAAATTTATTTTATTTAATTTTATTTTTATTGTGTATAGTGCAAGTTTACAAACTTAATTTTATTTTAAAAATTGTATTACATTTTCAGACCTACATATATATGTACATACCTAAAATGAAGGTAAATTAAGGAAATTAGCTAGCGATCCGTTAAGAAGTGATATTACACAAATATGAAAGTGGCTCTAGCAGTACATAACTATACATATGTACAATCATATGTGCTTACATCATCATGTACATATAGTATGGATGTACATTTTTACATATATCATTTTTAAAGTCTAAGTTTAACTGCAAATTACGAACAAGTTTTATCGATTTTTTATTATTATTCAATAGGTGCATCGAAGTGTTCAAGTTGTATATGGATATATCACAGAAAACACTGGCTATCAAGTTTTTTTTGTTTGTTGTTTTTGAATTTATAAAAATTACATTTTACAAATAATTCAACTCCATATAATTATACCAAGCACACTTTTATCCATATTACAACTTATTTCGATTTATAGTGTTTTCGTTAGTGTTAATAAATGGGAAACTACGCATTTTCAAAGATGAATGTTAACAGTTAAGGTTCTTCAAGATACAAATGCATGTATGAATGCATGTATGTGTGCACACTTGTCGTAAGGTAATTAAATAACTTTGTACAGAGAGCGAGCGAGAGAGAGAGAGAGCAGCACTCAAAATTTATATGAATGAGCTGAGAAGTGTTGCAAGTTTTTGTTTAGCATGCTTGAAGCTGTATAGTGCCATGTTCGAGTCATTAAACCCAAATGGGGAATGACTCAAATCCCACCGCATGACAAACTGTTGTGTCGTGTGAGTCTGAGATGTCTGGGTCGCTGTTTAAATTGATGGGTGTGAATATGCTAATTAAAGTTATAAAGTGAAATAATTTACGATATGTTATGGGAAATAAAGTTTTATTGCCATGCTTAAGCTACATTTATTGCGAAATAATTAGTGTGGTATCGTTATCGTTATCGCTATCGCTATCGTGGGCATCCCTCAACGATTGCCGGCGATATTTGCACTTGTCCACTTGGGCCTGGCTATTCAAATATTTGGTATCGGCATTAACACTCAACAAAATATGCTTGCCTATATTTTCGAAAATCGCCATTAAATGAAACATTTTCTTCAATTCTGAAAATTCTTTAAATATTATCTCTTTAATATCTTTTCTAGAATATTTTTTCTTTTCTTAGAATATCTTTTCTAGAAATTATTAAATTTTTTTAATAAAAGCAAATTTTTTATTAAAAAAAAAGAAAATTCGTATTTTAGAACGATTATTTTTTTTGACGATTTTACTAAAATTTGGGTAAGAAAATTTTGTTGAGTGTACTATATAGGCCACCCCCATGGGCCTTAGGAGTTGGAGCGACTGCTCGTTAGATAGCTACTGCTACTATTGCTACTGTGATATATGTTGTTGTTACTGTAAAGCATTGAACCCATGGATGTTACCGGCACTGTTCCGGGCCCGGAATGCAGCGTAGAGCTGCTGCTGCTGCTGTTGCTGCTGTTGTTGTTGTTGTTGTTGTTGTTGGTGTTGCTGCTGTTGTTGTTGTGGCTGATCAGCTTCATATTTGGCGGCGTCTGTGGCGGTGTATCGGGCTGGATCTCGGTAAACCCCATCCTCTGCTGATGGGACTGGGGCAGGTAGGGTGCTTGGCTCAAACTGGAATGCACCTGGAGCTGGGATAGATCGCGATGCATATTGATAGGCGTCTTGGTATGCATGCCCATGGCCTCGGTGTACGCCGTAGGTATCCGCGAATATGGCGATGCGGCGGCGTAGCTGCTCATCATACTCAGCGGCGAACCGAGCTCGACTTGCGGCCCCATAGTCGGGTGTGCGCCGTGCGCTGAGTGCTGCTCCGGATGCAGCTGGGTCGTTGTCGGTGTATCGGGCACCAGCGCCACTTGTGCCTGCTGCTGCTGCTGCTGCTGCTGATGTGGATAGAAATTCTGGCCGAGATATGCCGTAGGCGGTGGTGTCTTGCAGGCGACTGTGTCGGCCACACTCCAGATTTTGGGCTTGCTCGCCGGCACCGGTATGCCACAGTCTCTGCTCAGCTGGTTTTTTTGAAGGGCGTATTCACTGCCACCAACATCTTGGCCATGACCCTGCACGTAGCCGGGATTGTAATAAACGGCTGCCGTCTGCTGCTGCTGCTGCTGTTGCTGCTGCTGCTGTTGCTCCTGCTGCTGCTGCTGATGCTGCTGCTGCTGGTGTGCATGGGCGTGGGCGTGGGCGTGGGCATGTGCGTAGGGATTGTAGGAGTGGGCCGGATGCGGATTGAAATTTGGTGTACCATACGGTGGCAGACCACGGATGGCCAGCAAATTCTGCGGCTCACGCTCCAGCTTCTCCTCAATGTCCAGCTCCGTTTTGTCCGTCTTAGCCAGCTCGGACTTGATGCGTTGTTGGCCGGGATCTGGTGATTAAAGTTTTTCGTTTGGCAGAACGGAGACAAAATTAAATTAAATTAATTTCAAGTCGAGTGCGGAAGTAGACAAGTTCTAAGAAGACTGCAAACTTGGCACTTGGCATTTGCCACTTGCCACTTGCCACTTGCCGCTAACAGCTGGCAGCTGGCAACTGGCAACTGGGCGTTTGCCAGGCGCAGGCAAAAACCCTTGAAATTGTTGGTGGGCGTTGATGCGTGCAACCCTCGCGCAGTGCCCTCGCAGAAAGCTTTCAGCAACAAAATGCTCCGGCTTCCGCTCCAACTCCCGTTGTCCATGCCCATGCCCCGGTCGCCCCGGCCGCCTCTCGCAAGCAATATTCAGAGCAAGCCGGTCGCCAAGTCGAGCAAGGCCGCCGCTATGCATATGGAGAGCCAAGTGCGGGCGCAAGGCCACTTTGCCAACAATGTGCTGTCAACTTCCGGGGAGGATGTCGCCTAAGCAGTCAGACAAATAAACGGACGGCAGCGGCGGCGGCGGCGGCGGCGACGGCCGGAGAAGACAAAGATTGCATAACATTCGTTTCGCCACATAAATTGTACTTAAAAGGCCGCTGCCACAAAATCTGCACTAGTTGGGGTCTGGGCGGGGCGGGTCGGGGGCACGAAGGGTCAGCAAGCGACAGCCATTGAAATTGATGGAATGGGAAAAACAATACAAATACGACCTTAAAATGATATAAGCCCCCGCGCATACTATGGATAAAAACATTTCGATTTAGACACTTGCTTGGGTCAATGACATCGGGGGGAGGAGGAGCTGAAGGAGGTTTGGTTTGGAGCACAGCAAATTAAGTGACAGCTTACCAAATGTGTCGCTGGCCTGCAGCTTGGAGCCCTCGTTGGACTCCTTCTCCTTATCCTCATCCGACAAGAGTCCGTCGTCATCGTCTTCCGTCTTGTTTTTTGGTTCCCACGTCATTTTATTCTCCTTTTTCAGACGGCGTCGTGCATTCGCAAACCATGTAGAGACCTGGGTGAGCGTCATCTTTGTGATGATGGCCAGCATAATTTTCTCGCCCTTGGTCGGATATGGATTCTTCTTGTGCTCGCTCAGCCACGCCTTCAGCGTGGCCGTTGACTCGCGCGTGGCATTCTTGCGGCGGGAGGCGAGATCGTAGTTGGGCCCATAGCTGTAATATGGACAACATTGAGAGAGTTTTTCTCATTATGGATTATAGCCAAGCTCAGCTGACATCGAACACAACTGTAAGCAGAAAACGCAGCTCAAACGCGACAACGCCCTGTTATTGTATAAATATCAAGTGCTTGGGTCTTCCGGTCAATCAGACGGGTCCAGACCCTGCGCTTATCAGTGCCCCGGCAATTAACAGTGTTGGTTTGCCACACCTACCAGTCAAACAATTACATTTCAAGTTCCCCTCAACACACACTTAAAAACAAAAGCCAAAGGCCGCACGGCGCACAATGGGACAAAGTTATTAAAAAGTATTTAAAAATAAGAGTGGGGCCAGTTATGCCAGATTTAATAAAAGAAAAACAATTATTACAACAACAAAGCCAAGTACTAACAGCTCAAGCTGTGTGAAGAACCTTCTTGTTTGAGTTTTGGGTCGATTTTTGGAGGAGCTCATGAGAAGATAAATATAGATTGTCGCCTACTTCAAGTAAGATTAATATATAATTATAGATAGCCGGTCCGTGCCGCAAGACAGATATTGTAACAAGCCAATATACCCATTTTTAAAATGTAAGCAGGGTATAAACAGCATAGGCTGAGTTAGACATTTGCTTCTGACATTCAAGCCAAAGTCTTGATGTGAACCTGAGCCTCGTTGGCTAAATTTCTACTATAACTCCCGAGGAACTAATTATTATTCTTTTGGTTGTTATTCATTTATTATTTTAATAGAGTAGCAGTTGCTATAAGCAAGCCCTGGCTAACTTAGACCCTTCGCAACATTAACTCATCTGGGATTTGAACTATGATTTGTTAACTGATAACTTCTCTGAATGACTCACTTAGAAAACTCATTTAACGAGAACAGCTTTTAACTGATTACAATTAGTACAGTAACTAGATTAATATGTCTATACAATAAATCATTAATTTAATTAAATATAATAACAGATACCTGCCTAATTAAACTATTTCCGCGCACCCCTTTACTCTCCTAATCGGTTGCCAGCCCCATAAGATTTTAAAATTCAAACATTCATTATGGCATCAAACTTTAACACAATTTTAATTTGTACGTTACAGTATTTAGCCTTAATTTGCATAACTTTAAGAGTTATTTTAATGGCGGGTTAAACGCAACAATGTGGCTAGCAAAATGGTTTATGATTCAGTTTTCCTCGTTTATTCTCCTCGAATTTTTTTTCGGTTCTAGTACGTGTTGCACTTTCGATTCACAAAATTGCGCTTCATGACGCACAATAAAAACGACGACAGGAGAAACGCCCTGGGAATTTTAATCTGTGCATTTGTAACTTCCTTCCGCCCAGCTCACCATACAACCAACAGAGCGTCCCTTCCAGCCATAAACTTATTGAGTTTAGTATATTTTTTAAAAGCATCGCGGCGCGCCGCCGCTTTGCTTAGGGTTAGGGCAAATTTGACGGGGTACGAGAAGTTCGGGGGCGTTAAGCAGTACAAGCACGATATCCCGGCCGATTGTCTACGCTCGCTGCGACAGTTTAAGCCCGGACCGTGGGCCCGAGCATGCTAACTTGCCTGCTTGGGCCACTTGCCACTTGCCAGTTGGCAGTTGCCACTTGGGCCGCGCTAAACCTTTTGTGGTGATAAAAACTCAGCAGACGCTGCACGGAAACTTTTGGTCGCCGGCCCATGAAAACATTTTAAACTCGCTTAACTTTCTTAGTGGCGCAATTGTTGTTGTTTGTTTTTATACCCTGAACCCATTGAAGACGGGTGCAAATGGTCTAATAGTTTTGTGCATATATAAGCGATAGGCAGCAGGGCACAACTCCGACTCTATACACTAAGTTTTTCCTCAGAATGAGCAGCTAGAGAGTCCGTCAGAGAGTCCGTCTACATATCTGTCCGTCTAAGCACGCGGATCTCGAAAAATACAAGAGCTACAGCCTTGTACTTTAGTATGCACACATATTTAAATGACATATTCCTGCCTTGAAAATTTAATAATTATCGGACAATAAATAACCAAGTTAATAAAGAGTGCAATTTCCAACATAGTGTGTGAAAAAGAGAATAAGAAGCACATTCGATTAGGTATGCATTTACATAAGTAAAAGCAGGCTATGTACGGGTAGTTCGGTCCTGGGTCCAGGGTATCATCTAGTCGGACACTCCCAACTGGAACAGTTTTGACTTGTCATTCGCGTTGATAAACTCACCCATAAGCAGCCAGTGTGGGATCATAGGAATAATACCCACTAGTTGATTGCAGGCCCGATGAGGTCCAAGCGTTCATATCGGAGCTGGAGGTGGTATCCTTCATGCCATAGGGATTGCTCTGAAAGTGAAACCAATTACACATATTAAAATAGTTGTGCATCTGTCGAGGCAGCGCCTCATTGACTCGGCTAAGCCGATAACATGCTTGTAAGCTTTCAGCAATTGGCCTACTGGAGTAGCCAGAACGACAGGTGGACAGATCGACAGATCAAGCGAATCGTGATGGCCTCCAGCAGATCAACAGTTCGAAAACCGGATGGCAAGCCGCGCGTAACCTGTCGGCTTACATTCCGCGTGGACTTATGCCTGCTGCACTAATCCAATTAGCGACATAATATTATCATCAACATCGGAGACAGCATCACTTACCAGCGGCGAATAGAAGGCCGAGTTGTCCACACCGATGCTGGGGTAGGGATTCTGCTCGTTCGAGGGATACGGGCCGCCGTAGACGCCTACGCCAGCTGTGGGTATCGCCATGCGTGAGTATCCGCCGAGCGTCAAACGCGCCGAATCATACTGGCACGAGCAGACTGTCTGCCCCGAGACGGGGTCCGTGATGATGGGTCGTCCGTTTTCGCAGCAGGACATGCTATTCGCAACACGGACATGAGCCTCTAGAGCGCTGCCGCCGCTGCCGACGCCGCTGCCAGCGGCATCTGTTTCTGTAGCGCCGGTCACTTCGCTGCCAACTGCATCTGCATCCGTCGGCGATGTGGCTGCCGCGGCTGTCGGGCCCGCATTGTTAGACGATTGAGAAATTGCACCTGGACTGACGGGGCCAGTGATGCCTGTCGCTGTCGAGCCGCCCGAGGGACTGAGGGAGGCCTCATTTGTGCCGGACAGCGGCGAGGGCACCGAGCCCCCACCATGTCCGCTTTGGCTGTCGCCAGTAGTTGCCGCCGCACCGCCAAGTAACTAAAATTTAAAACAACAAAAAAGAAACAGAGCCGGGCTAAAATTTATTTCACGAAAAGGTTATATATATATATGTATATGTATCTAAAGGCGAAAAAAGGTTTTTGCAATGGTACGATTCTTCCTAAAACAGGTGATGCGATCAAGGACGAGAACGCAACGACATTCTGTCCAGGGGCCAGAGAGAGATAGAGAGAGAGAGAGAGAGAGAGAGAGAGAGAGAGAGTGCCGAACCCGAACCCGGGCCCGAACCTTCTTCTCAGGTCGAAAATCAAGAAAACAGATTAAGACGATAACTCCAAATGTCAAAATATTTTATTGGCTTGGCGCATTTTGCGATCCGTTCCATCTATTTTCACTTCATTAATTTTCAATTTATCACAGTCAGATTTCAGATACTGCTGAGGTTCGTACTCGGGCCTGGGCTCGAACTCGGTTGCCTCCGTCTCCGTCTCCGTCTCGATCTCGGCACGGGCATGTCTTTGAAAAGGGTACAACCCGAAGTATCAGCGGACCGATCGACCGTTCGATTGAGTGTGGGCATTGCGCAGCAAAAAGGGCAAGAAATTGAATGAGGCACTCAGGTATGCGCTTGCACGATAACCGCAACGAATCGCCGATTCCGATTGAAAGACTGTAAGACCTTCCACTCAAAACAAACACCACCAACAACAACAACAACAACAACAACAGCAGCAATAGCATTGGCCTTTAAGGCAAGTGCTAGACCCATATCCAGAGAGTCTGGGCTACCAACAAACCCAATCGAAACAGACTTTAAAGATCAATGAGCGTAAAAATCACATTTCTCAAAAGCGCTTGACGCCTAGGCTATCCGTGTGAGATTATGCGATTCATGTGAATTCCCTCGTCACGACTGTCAATATTCTAATTACCTCAGGAATATGTACAACTCTTTTTTTACAGTTATTCATGGTGGATAATTTAATCTATATTTCAAATATGTTTATACTCCAGATAATCATAGTATGGTTATGCTGATGCATGCAACCTGTTACCAAAATATAAACATCGGCTAACAGTTATTACTCATTCCGCCTGCTGCTGCTACTGTTGGCCCATTCGCGGGCTTCTCAATCGGAGAGCGAGAGAGCTACTGTACAGTCAAAATTATGCTTTAAATAATAATGGTAATTCACGGTTTGAACAAGCTGATTTTCAACACCTCCTGCAGGCTATCTAATCGCAAAGCAATTTCGTGCGGACACCGGGCCGCAGTCCTGGCTCCGGTCCGGGCCCCGGCCACGGGATCTGCCGCACAACTCGAAATTATTGCATAATGAAGGCGTTTTCATGAATGAAATCTAATGAATTCTGAATGAATGACCACTGGCCCGATGGCCGATGGCCAGCAGAGCCGGCTGGGCCTGGCCTGACCAGGCGACCAACTGTAACGACGACAGGCAGCAAATCCAAAAAACCCACAACAAGTGGCTGGCCCCCTCTCGCTCCCTCTCTCCCCATTAGCCACTCTCTCTCTCACTCTCTTACACTGTGCAGCTAATGTACAAAACGCTGCGCGCGCTCATTTCTTATTATTCTTTATTTTTATATGCGATTCGAACATCAATTTCAGTTTTTGTGGTCGTCCATAAAAAACACATATCAGCGACGACAACGACACTGAGGACCCGGACCCGAATGGCCAGCATGCCGGCCGGCCGGCCGACCGACCGACCGGCCCGTCCAGCCGTCCGTCTGTCTGTCCGGCTGTCCGGCTGACTGCGGTCCGGCAAAGCAGCCACCGACCAGCGCTTATTATCGGCACGCAAGTCAGTTTATTTTTAATGATTCTCACTCACCCACTCTGGGATGCATTGTGGACTGAATGGACTGGATGGACTGGAGGAGCGGAACGCAGCGAGCGGGCAGCGGGCAGCGCGGAGTTTATCGTGAGGTGGACACACAGACAGGATTGGATGGTCCCGAGAGGGGTTCTCCTTCGCTGGCTTAAAGACGGCTTTAGTTACCACAATGCGGAAATGTTGCAAATGTTGCCAAGTGTTGGCAACTACTATTAAATATTGCTTTATAGTGCGCTCTTTTATGACTCGAATATTACGATAAACGGTGTGAACTGCATGTCTGCTTTGCAATTTCGCGTGGCATGTCGATGTGAAAGGATATTCACACACCAAAGATATTTCTCTACGACATCAAGCATTTCAAATTTCAAATTTACTAAATACTGCTGTTTAATATAAAGGCTAGAAATATGTACTGTATTAAATACATTTTTGTTTTGTCTTCTTTACTTGGAATCCTTTTTAAAATGGTCATGGTAAAACTAAGAGACGAGAGGTCGTCGGCTCAAATCTAGCAACAATGTTCAATTGTAAATTTAATCAATTTTTTGTAAGCTGATTGTTGTTGAATTTAAGTTTGATATGTCTACTCGAGTTAAAAGGAGTATTACAAATATCTAAAATTGAAGCATGCTTTACATAAATTAAATATATGTTACAAAACTTACCAAATAAAATAAACATGAAATGGTAAATTTGGACAAAAGGAGCATTTTTATATAGTTAAAGTAATATTTACCCAGCTTTTTAGGTAGCACTATCTTCTATTGTTAACATAACATACATAACATATACAACATACATAACATACATATCATACATAACATACATAACATGCACAACATTCATAACATACACAACATACATAGCATACATATCATACACAACATACATAACATATATAACATATATAGCATACATAACATATATAACATACATAACATATATAACATATATAACATATATAACATATATATAACATATATAACATATCTAACATATCTAACATATATAACATATATAACATATATAACATACATAACATATATAACATTTATAGCATACATAACATATATAACATACATAACATGCATACCGTACATGAACAAACTAGCCTGGGAGTCTAACCCAGATATTCCCTGCTCAGTGATAATGATAAATTTGTATTGTTTTTAGTGGAAAACAAGTTGAAAGTAAATTCTTAATTACCCAACTGCATGGTTTGAACTCAAGTATTTTCGAATGGCAAAATGTATTGCATGAATAATAGCTGAATGGTTGCATGAGCCAAGTTCAAAGAATCGATGAATGCCATGCTGGCAGCGAAGCTTGCAACATCCCATTTGTTCGACACGTTGCAAGTAAATGCGAAAACTTTTTAAGTAGGCAAATCGACAACAAACGAAAAGTGAAAAGCAATACTCATTGACCGTAATTGCCACAACTGAACACATTCTACATATTTAGTGCCTTTGAAGTGTGTGCAGACACACACACGCACAGACAATCGAATGTGCCACCCCCCCAACCCCCTCCACTCCTTCCCGGCCACCATGTGGCATCCTCTTCCTGGCCACCCGCTCTGACCAAGATGCTGGCGAAAACAAAAGAAACAAAAAAACTGGTGCCGTCACTTTATGGTTATTAATTTTATGATTTATGTTAAAGCTCACGAAACGCCCGACCGTTCGGTACGCTTCAGTCCAGTCCCCAGTTCCGAGTTCCCAGTGCCGAGTGCCGAGTGCCGAGTCCCACCTTGCCAATTTCAATTCCAATTGCCAATTGCTCAGTGCGTGCAACAAAAGGAGGTTGGGCTGTGAAGTTCTGCTTGTTATGCTCCGGCACCTGTGTGCGTGCGTGTGCGCGTGTGTGTTGTTGTGGGTTGTTGTGGCTGCTGCCGTTTCGCTCTTGTTGCTGCTACTGCTGAAGATGCGTTTATGGATTTTTGTTTTTGCACTCCAAACAACAGCAGCAGCAACATCTAAACAAAGAGTCTGCAGCAAAAAGTGATAGCTGCTCCGCAATAGGTTGCTCCTGACGCCAGTCGACTTGGTATTGCAGCACCAACCGGCAACGGCGCCGACAGCACTAACGGGCAACAGCAGCAACAGCAATGACAAACAATAAGCGAAATTAAAAGGAGCAGGAGCTGAGCTTGTGACTGCCAACATTTGGTTTTGGTTTTGGCTCTGGGCGGCGGCAGACAGAGACTCGAGGCGGCAGCGGCGGCGGCAGTGCGTCGTGGCATTTGGCATATTCTCACATTCATCCGCAGCAGCAACATACAGCCGGGCGTAGCAATACCCATACCCAAACCCAAACCCATTCCCTGCCAATACCAATACCAATCCGAATACCCATAGCTCTGATGCGTGTTTTTGCTAATGCGAATAAGTTGCTGCTGCTGCTGCTGCTGCTGCTGTTGTTGTTGTGCGCTCCTTTTATTGAATTAACTTCAGTTTCAGTAGTTGCTGTTGTCGTTGTCGTCCCAGTTCCTGGGCCGCTGCTCCTCTTTGTTTTGTGGCTTTCAATGTTTGCATTAAAAATTCATAAATCAATTATGGAATGCACACTGCAAAATATTAGTTTTTTCTCGCACGGTTCGGGCCAGGCCAGTGCCAGTGCCAGTGCCAGGGCCAGGCAGGACACTGCCAGCCGCTCTGCAGCCTGGGAATTTCAGTTATTCTGGTATGAAATGCGTGAACTGCTGCTCCACGCATGGCAAGTTGACAATTCTGTTCATGATTAAATTCATACACACATACATATTTATATATATATATATTATATTGAATTCGTCAGCGATTTTGGTGTGTGTCATATTTGGGATGCCGAATTGGCGTTGAAATTAAAATTAAATTAAATTAATGAATACGACTTTTGAGCACATAAATATATAATGTATGCTTGTGTGTGTATATAATTTTTTATGGCCTGAGTTTTCTTGGTGAACCCAAATTCCAGGCTACATATGCATGCTGTAATGCCTGAGCCGAAGGTCAGAGCAGCCTTATAAGGTGCTCTTTGCAATCTGTACCCATTGAAAATTCATCAAAAAGGGTATATTGTTTGACATGTCTATTTGTCTATCTCAGAAACTAAACTTTGCCTATAACACACGCAGAAGTAGCTTAGAATTCGTTAATAGATTTTTGATAATGTCGATAAAAATCTATTTTTAGACATGGTTTTTTATCCATAACTTTAACTTCACAAGATTTAACATTAAAAAGATGTAGACTCCTGTGCTTTGGTATGCACACACTTTTGTATGCTGCATTTAAGCCCGCAAAATCGGACTATAAATACCGAAGTTTATTACGATTACATAGCCCATATCTGGCAATGGGAAGAAGAAGCACAGCCGTTGCATTAGATTCGCGTTTATGTGTATGTTTAGAAAAATAAATTAAGCTAAATAAATAAATATTGAAATAAGATATAAGCTTAGCATCGAGATGATCGTTAAATATTTTGATGGATAGTTATGACGTAAGCCGAAAAATAACAAAGCGAAATCTAACATAATTAAAAAAATGGTTCAGTCATTAAAGATTATCAAAACTATCTAATAAGTGAAATAAAAACATAATGAAATATCATTTATTTGGCGTAGAATAAACGAAAACTTAATAAACTATAAATATTTTCTTGTATTGCAATCAAACCAATTAGTGTACTAAGCTGTTCGCTATTTATTTGAATGTAAAATCATAAAAAAAAACTTTAGCGCGTTCACTAAGGAACTCAGGCACAACAAATGGCATAGCTTGAATAGAATATCGCCTGGAGATGTAGCAACAACAAAATAACGATGGGATGGCATTTGTAGACCGCACTTTGCACATCCGCAGACATAATTACAGACGATAATCTGATTCATTATTTTAATTATTGCCATTTACCGAGCTTTGCATATTATAATAAATGGCGCTCCATTCGATGCGTTTAAACATGAATTTATATATATGGAGAGCAGACATATAGAAGCTCTCTAAACTATAAGAGGGTAACATATTTACGACAGTCAGTGTATGGGCGTTGGTGTCCTATGGCATTGGCTGCCTTCGGTCCCGGCTCACACAGCAAAAACCTCAGCTAACTAATTTGAATTACTGAACTTCACATTACGCCGCCTGTCCAGCTCCTGCCCCTCGTCCCGCAGCCGTGCCCATTCCAGTTGGCCAAGTAATTATGGTCCGAAGTCGAACGATGCAACGCAGCGCCGCTGGCCAGGATGGCGGTTGGAGCAAGCAGGACGCTGGCAACGGCTGCACAATGTCCTAAATTGTGCAACATTTGCTTGGGGCGTCTATTACCTCAACATAGAGTCTGGAGTCCAGAAGCTGGCCACATAGCCTGCATATTCATGCCACATTGCCTGTGCTTAGCATTTTAGGACGGCATAAAATTTAAATTTATGTTTATTTCAAATACATCGCCGTCGTCATTTGCCATTTACATATATATTGGACTAAACATAACTAAACACTGCACGGCACACACGAACGCACACGCACTTATCCCACAGGCGAACTATATAAATTGCATTGAGTAAGACTTGAAGAAACTCTTTAATACTGATAATACGATAGGCTGAATTTCGATTTTGATGTTCGTAATTATAATATTATTTTGAGTTTTAATAGTTCCTTATGTCGTTGTACATATACTAAATAAATAGTTTCATAAATATATAGACTAATATATACACTAGCGAATATTAACCAGATTTAGCACGGGCCAAGGTACACTCATTTTTCGCCCTTGGAAATTAGAAAATTATTCATTACTACCCTGAACAGCCCTTTCGGTGGATATTCCGCAATCGGTGAATTACATTTCAAATAAAAACTTAAGAAAAACTATTTGAATATTAGTTTGAGTTCAGTCGGAAGAGCAACAAAGAAAATATAAATCTGTAAGATGGGCAACCAATCGAATTCGAATTTGAATGTAATCAATGTAACCACATGGCATAATGATAAGATAATATCTCTGAAGTATCGATATCATACCGATATTGTCCCCGATATCGAGCATTCAGCAAAAAAAATCAATTCAATTCTTGGATCGTAGCCGTTCGGAACAGACATGGATTATCAAATAAAGCCAACAGCCGTTGATATTTTACTGACCTAAACATTTTTCGCAAAATTTTCCACAACTGCGGATGAAATTATGCCAAAAATTCCGTCTTGGCGTGCACTTAAATAACAACACAGGATGAATTTTAACTTCAATCAGTCTGTCAATCAGGGAAAATATAATTATATATATACATTAATATATTTATATGTATACAGATATAGGGTCTAAACAACTTGCAAATTTTACATTGATTGCGATGCTGTTTCAAGTAAACTGCATAGAAAAGCTGGCTGGATAGAATTTGGTGATAAAAATATATTGTTATAGATATATAGATTTCAGATGCACCCAAATCGGGAATACTAGATAAACACACTCCTACAGATATTCCATTTGGCGACTAATTTTGCTTACCTGATTTGCCGACGGGTAACCATATCCAAACTGCGCATATGCAGCCATTGTCGCGTTCGTCTTTGTCGCTGAACTGGTGACGGTAACTGGCGACGGCAACGGCTACGGCAAAAGGCAGGTCGCGAGTATGAGAGCTCACTGTGGGGCGCCCGCGCCCTGCAAGGATACTGTTGGGCGGGGGCGTTGAAGGGGTCGGAGGCGAAGGCCGATGCCGATGCTGGCGGGATGCTGTTGAGCACTTGACAAGGGGTTTTGGGTGCTGGGTGTTGGGTGGCTGCAGCTCGTTGGCCAGGAGTGGGTGGAGCTGAAGATGGATGCGGATGTGGATGTGGATATGGAGATGATGGTGTTGTTGTTGTTGTTATTGTTGTTGGTGGCGTGCGTGCTTGGCGCGAGCGCGGCTAAGCACTCTGGGCACTTTTGTTGTTTGTTGGTTTGTTGGCTGCTCCGCTATTGTTGTTGTTGTTGCTGTTGTTGGCCTTGTTGAAAATTGATAAAACAAATTGTCGATGTCGAGCAGTTCTGTTAATGTCGCCGGAGCCGGAAAATGTTTTGTTTGTTCTGTTGTGACTTTGCGTTTTATTCTTGTACTTTGTTTTTTTTCTGCTGTTTGTTTTTTATTGACTTTGGCTGTTTGCCGACAAATCGTCCTCTGATGCTGGACACTATTTATTTACTTATTTGTAGCGAGTCCGAGTTCCGGTTGCGGGTCACTGCGACACGTCTGTCACTCAGCACCGGGGCCAAAGGGTCGTGTTAGTTGCTCGCAAATACATGTGTTTATGCTTTAATTTATTTACTCATTTTGCTATAATATATTTTATGGTATATTTAACATTTAGTTAATACTTTTTCTTATATGTTTTCAATAGGCATATTTATGGTAGATATAACGTTTACGTCTATTGCACATACACACACACACAGACACACACGCGCGCGCACTTTGTTTTTTTTTTTGTTATTTGCACCGATCGACAGATGAAACGAGTTCCACAACCTGTCAGTGGCCTCTCGCTTGGGCTTGAAATCGTCGACAGGCACAGCCAGCAGCTGGGAGATGTGCGCCTATGCCTATTCGCGTTTAAACACAAACTGGTCTGCCGTTTGCCAGCGACTGCCAGCCTGCTGCCAGCCAGCCTGGCCAGGGCACAAGGCCGAGAGCGCGAGAGCGAGAGCGCTAGCTGGCCCATAGCAGGGGTGAGCGAGCAAATGAGATGTTCTGGTTAGCTGCCAGCAATTCCAACCAGAGAGAGCGCAACGCATTTGCCATCTCAATCGACACGGGCCGGTTGTGCGTGTGCGCAAGCGAGACGGAGCACGACTGTTGCTGCTGTCGTCGTCGACAAGGCCCACCTCCGACTGGAACGCAAAGCAGCTGCTGCTGCTGCTGCTGCCAGCGCAGCCCAACGAATTCCAGTTCCAGTATTCCCCTTCTTTGTAATGTTGGAAACATTTTTATGGCGGACTACGATCGAAAGGCTTCGCACACTTTTGAGTTTCTTCCGCAGCTCCTGGATGATTTTGTGGTTGTTGTTGTTGGTACCTTGAGCATACATACACTTATATATGCATGCATACTGTTTGCATGAGTGTGTGTAGACACTTATGGCTCAGTCTATTGCATTTATTAATTAAGAATCAAAATATTGGGCATGTTGTGTGTTATATAAATACATACATATGTTATTATCTATGGGCTTGCAGTTGAAAAAATAATTGCATTTAATTTCAAAATAAATTTAATCAAATCACGAATATTGCTGAAGAACAAACCAAATAATTTGATTCCATTTCGATTATATGCAAAAACTATAGCCATTTTATACCCTAGCAGAGGTAATGTATATATTTTTTTGATCAATATATATAGGCAGTCGATATTACCATGTCCGTCTGTCTGTTTCTATGTGAGCCAGTCTCTAGCTTCAGGAAATATCGATGAAATAGTAGTTTTTTATATTGCAAAATATTCTATTTTCAAAGATATTTCAACAAACTCAGCATTTTCGAGCGGCACTTTTCTCACTTATCTGCAAAAGGGCAATGTCTGCAAGAGTATTATATTACAATTATCATATTCCCCCGATATAATAAATACTTATATTTATTCCGCCGGTTTCGGTTCCGGTTCACATACGGCAAACGTTGCAAAAATATATACAATTAAGTAAATGCATCCAGTTTTCATACTTCCAAAACCAGTTTGTATAAAATTTATAATTAGCTGCGGCTTAAATTCTACATTCAAACAAAATCATTTTTTGTTTAAAAATAACGTATAAAACGTTTATAGTTAATATTTAACCAACTGTCATCAGATTTTAAATTATTTTCTTTAAAATGCAAATTAAAAATTCTGAATGCATCAAATATATAAATTAGTCTTGATAATCTATTAATTTAACTGAATTAATTAAGCAAATAAAAAATTCTGAATAAATCAAATTTATAAATTTGGCATGAAGATCTTTGAAATTAACAGAATTTATTGATATATATTTTGATTTACTTCAATGTCTAATTCAGCATATTTGCATATGCAATTGAGTTGCAAAATTCCAGTTTGAATTTGTTATCAAAACTCGTTTGTTTTTCTAAAATTGGTTTTGAGTTAAGATGTTTGCCATTGCAACATCTAAATAAAGTGAAACTCTGAAAAGGTTAGCTCTTTGGAAGTGATCCTTTCTTCAAATACGACAAACCTTTCGTAGAACCAGGCCAGATCCAAGTTAATTGGGCTCTTTCTGATCGTTATACGAAACCCGATGTGTGCTTGGAGTTTTACAAAAAAAAAACAAACAATTCAATTTGAACTGAAATCGAATGCCAAGACACTTGAAATTCCACAACCACTCGATTGCATTCTAATTTATGAAAAATCGGCGCTCGACAGCACAAAAAAAAAATTTGTGTTTTGTTGGAATTCTTGTAAGACGACGCCTCACAGTTTTTTTTGGGGGGTGTTAACGCGCTGTCATTTATAATGTATGTCCAGTAAGTGCATATGGGCTCAGGCAAAGGCACATGTTTTGGCGAAGCATTCTCCTTGGCTCGAGCAAGGGACATACGAGTCAGAGCTCTTGAGTCTGAGTGAGCAGATCGCTGGTAATAATAGTTCTGAATGGACATTGGCTGCACTTGGTGGCGCCACAAAATTGTGATGGAAATTCAAGGCAGAGTTCGAATCGTCAACGACTCAGCTGCGACTTTAACTTTGCTCAGAAGTTGCTAATGTGTTAGCTTCGGATTTGTTGATGGGAACTTTTGCAGATGTTGCATTTCATTTGAGAAACACACAGGAGCATGACTACACACACACACACACGCGCACACACACGCACATAAGAAACATCAGCTTGGGAGTCGAAGTCTGTTTTCATTTTGTGTCAAACAATAACTCGTCCATTTTTGTGCCACTGGACATAACATGCAGATTATATTGAAAACAATTTAAATGTAGATTGTAGAGTTACCAGATAATAGTGCTCAGGTAGGACCACACACACACGTCCGTCTATACATATATATGTGTGTGGGTAGCTGAATTCGGTGGGTTGTGAACGCATGACATTGGCACCAGCTGCACGAACGGGAGTTTAAACCATGCTCATCCTCCCATTTTGCTGCTGCGGCAGCTCCTGCTGCCGCCTCCCACTCCGCTGGCTGTGCCATGCTTCCTCTTACTTAAGTGTTGTTTCATGTCACCTGGAAAGCAATTGGACATGAAATTGTCGCTTTTCAGTATGTGGCACACACACACAAACACACACAAACACACACACACACAGACACAGACAGACACTGGCTTTGTGTATGCGTAAATTTGATGTGCTTCACAAAATCTTCTTAAATTGAAGTCTCCGCATTTTGTGCATCAATGCATACATGAAAGTAATAAAATAAAATCCTATCCCAAACCAACGAGCACTGTAACACGCACAAAAAGGACGACTCTATGCAAATTGCATACAATAAATTTGTTTACGCTTGAGCCATGGACTCCGGGCAGAGATTTTGTGGCAAATTGCAGCAATCCTTTTGTGCACACAGAACTTCGGAGCTCGGGCAGCTCTTAGCACTTATGGCCATTTTAATTGTTTGCTGTGCCAGCCCCGACCAACTCCTCCGCATTGGCGTGCAAGGCAGACACCTTGGAGTCTTCGCAGCTTGAGGCCAGCAGAGACCGCCGCCAATCAACGGTGTGCCTGGTGTTATCAGGCCGCACTCTGATATCGTATCAGCAACAGCAACTGGCATCTTATCGGGCACTTGAAAATGGGATTGCTGCTTAAACAAAACGAAGCGCACACACAACATTTTCCAAACATTCATAAATGGAAACATATTTACTCACTTTTCAAAACAAATCAACAAATCGGTGCTCTTTGTGGTTCAAGTGCCGTTGACGGGCCGTTCAAACCCGAACCCCAAACCCGGAGCTGACTCTGGCAACGGCACTGTCCCGGTTGGGTCTAGGAACCATCCATAGCCGGTGTCAAAGTCAGAATTGTGGCCCATACCCTTACCAATAGTTACTTATACCCCGCGCGTGCGTTTCACCTTTGTCGGCATTTCGACAACAACTGTCACGATTGATTGCCGCACCGATTGACGCTGATTTCTAATTTCCAATTGGTTTTTCTATTTTTTTTTTTTATTTGAAACACACAAACATTCATATTATCGCGCGGCGCGTGATAAGTGGCCCACGTTTCGACCGGGAGTAAGGCAATTATATGACTAAGTAGCTGTAGATGCTTAATATGGACAGCTGCCCCTGGCATGCCCCACGACAAACGCAACTGCATGCATTCACATCAACGAAAATCAGTTCAATTTCGCACGACAATCGAAGTATATTCGAACATTCCCTTCTATTTGAAGTTTGACCACGTATGCCCGACTATCCAGAAATTAGAAAGAAATAAAAAACGTGGCGGTTCACTTTCGAACATTTTAGCTACCCATCTTTAATTATATGCTGTCTAATTAAATTCATTGAATTTATTATCATAACCCATTAAAATTTGAACACGAAATGTGTAACAAATAGAAGGAAGCATTTCCGACTCCGTAAACTATATATTCCTGATCACAGGCCGAATCGACACATATTCAAGTCCGTTTTTCTGTTTCTACTATCATAAAACTGTGCTCTGGGTTCGATATTTTGTTGCAAGCAGTATCTATGTCGTGATCGTCCAGATCGGAGCACTATATCATGTCGCACCGGTCGAAAATTAAGTTCTTATATGAATAACGTTCTTCTACTTTAAGATTTTACATGAGCAAAATCTCATCAACATCAGACTACAATATTATATATAGAAAAATGTTCTGATTTCATTATTTCTTCTTACCTAACTGAAAACCCGTAAGCCTTATAGATAAAGTAGATATTAGGGTATTTAATCTTCGGCGTGCTGAAGACAGCTGTTCTTTTCGGTCTTACTCCAAGTTATATACATATGTATATTCAGATTTACCTATTTACACGCACATTCACAAATATAAAATTTCACAATTTAACAACAGCAAAGTTAGGGCTCTCTAGAGAGTGAATGCTCTCCTTTATTGGGATTAATTGGGAGTAACTACGCACGAGACACACATATTTCGAATGCCATTTGCCTTTCCATGACCATAATCTAACCATTCCGCTTGATCCATACAAACTCCAACAAAGTTTAAGGCATATTCCTTAGTGTAAAAGTTTTACATTTAGCATAAATTGAGCTTTGCTTACTTTAACTTCAACTGTTCCATAAATGTACATTTTACAAATCAAACTTTAATTAAATATTTGTCTAAACTTGCAGCAGCTACTCTTCGAAATAAAACAAGTTTTTCATATTAAGAACAATGAAACCACATAAAAGGAACTTGACTTATGTCGATGGAAAAAAAATTAAAAAAAAGTTTTTATACAAAACTCACTGTTCAGCTTTATGACCTAATGTTCTAAGCCAGCGGCTGCTTTCGTCATTTAAGTTTTTAAGAACTTTCTAGGAATTTGAGCAAGCTGCAAAAATTAATTAATTTTTGAATAAATAATCAATTAGCTCTCAAATTGTTTAAATTGTGGCTCGAATTGTCC